GATTCTTTTGTCCCTTTTATATGTTCTACAGGGTATTGCAATCGCTGAAGGGCAGTATTTGCTACTAAAAGATAAAGCATTGATTTTTGGATTCAGTCAGTTTCCCACTACTAACTGTAGTATTACTGTTTTAATTACTTACGTAATTTGAGCAAGTTAATCTCTCTGAGCCTTGGTTTCCTCATCTTTAAAAGAGGGACAATACATTGTCCAGCATCATCTTGTTTGCATCAAAATACACTGGCCTCGCACACACACATGCAGATTTTGTCACAGCAGTTACACCTGTTTAAGAAACTTGGGTTTTGATCAAGCTAAAAAAAAATAAATAAATAAGAGGGATAATCATTGTTTGGCTTGGGGGTTGACCTGAATGTTACATCATATATTCAGGGGAAATATCCATATTCTAACAACAGTGTGATTTCATTTAGAATTATTTCTCTTCAATCACATAGGGATGACTAATGGAGTGACTTGGCCTAATGATGCTGCAGTTGAAATAAAATAAAAGCAACTGTTTAAGTGATCCTTTTCCATAGCTCCCGCTCATCTGCGCACATCCCGGCCATGCTCGCATGGTCTGGGGGGAAGGGAAGAGAACATGGTCCTACTCTCAACAGCCTTTCACAGGGATCTATAGGACCTCAGCACGTACACATCACAGAACCTCACGGCCCTCAACAACAGTTTTAAGATAAAACAGCTGGCAGCTCTCGAGTCACGTGGGAGAATTCCCGGGAAGGGGTTTGAGTTGGGAAACATTCTCCTCTGCCACTGACCCATCTGTTGCCTTGAGCGGTCCTTCACCCTTTTACATCCCACGTTTCCACGTCTGAACAAGATGATGACAGTGTAACAGATGTCACACAGTGTGAGGAGGATTTAGAGATCACATCTAAACAGCCACAAGAGGACACGTGCCTCGGAGCCCCTCCTCTGTGTCATCCGGCCGCCGGAGGACACGTGGGCTCCGTGCCTCGGAGCCCCTCCTCTGTGTCATCCGGCCGCCGTGGCCCAGGCCACAGGATGAACAGGCAGACGGAAGCAAGGTCTGGGTTTGAGAGGCTTTGTCTGTTTCTGACTTGGGCGTACCTTAGTGAGCTGGCCTATTATATTGCAAAGGCGATTTAATATATATTGTCATGGAACCTGAACACGTGGTTGGTTTGCGTAAATGAAGCCAAAAACAGAAATCGAAAGTGTTTTAGTGCCTACGTACTACCCCGAATACAAACTGGTGAAAGTCTCTTAGAAAACGGTATGTTTAATACGTCACCCTGTCCTTCAGCATGATGCAAGGTGTGTTCATTAAACTGCATTCTCTTTTCTTTTTTAAAAAATATGTCTTTATTGATTTTAGCAAGAAAAGAAGGGAGAGGGAGAGGGAGGGATAAGGGAAGGAATGAGAGAGAGAGAGAAAGAGAGGGAAACATGGATGTGAGAGAAACATCAATTGGTTGCTTCCCACACACCCATTCTGGGTACCGAACCCAAAACCTGGGCATGTGCCCTGACTGGGAATCAACCAGCGACCTTTCAGTGCCCGGGACATGGCTCAACCAACTGAGCCACACCGGCCAGGGCCAAACTGTATTTTCTTGGGTCAAATCTGACTGCCTTCCAGTGACAACACTTTGCATAAGCCATTCCATCCTATGTCCCCGTTTTATGAAACAAAGTTGTGATTTACTTGCCTTTTGATGCTTTAGGCAAACCTTCCTTCCTCCGTGACTCTGAGATATTGCCGGTGGCTGTGCCCGCCTCTCGGATGGCTCTCTGTCTCCCCTGGTCGCTGCTCAGTGGTTCCTTCTGTTGCCTTAATGCTTCCTTCTCATTCTCCTTTTCTCCACAAGCTTGCTGCAAGGAGTCCGCTGTGCACAGGGAAGAACTAGTTAAGTCTATTCAGAGGCAGTTAGCTTTGAGTCAGTAGGACTCTTCACGAGGGTTAAAGAAATTTAAACGCTGGCTTGAATGGAGGGCTCTTTGCATCCTTTCCTGAAAGCCCAAGATTCTGGGCAGAAGAGACTCCAGATAAGCCGTCTCAACTAATGAGGAGAAAAAACAAATTTGTGTCAAATCCGTTCCTTAGTCTGTGGTTCCACTTGTGAAACAGGAAACTCACATGATGCTGCGTGAAAATGAAATAAGGCAGAATTTGTCATGAAAACATTGTGTCAAATCCGTTCCTTAATCTGTGGTTCCACTTGTGAAACAGGAAACTCACATGATGCTGCGTGAAAATGAAATAAGGCAGAATTTGTCATGAAAACAAATCGAAGTATCGAGGCAAACCTTTTTGGTTTCAAATCTAATCCATGTACATGCACGTGGCCTCTCTCCTTTCTGAATAACCGTTTCAGCCTTATGTCTACTGAGTCTTGTGTGGCTGGGCTGTGAGTACGTGTGACTATCTTTCCTCACTGCTCAGGGTCTAAAAACAGTACAGATGTTTCTTTGGAAAGAAAGTGATGACTTAGATATCTGTCAACTAAAAAGCATGTTCTCACTGCACTGACACAATATTATGAAAACTTGGCTGGAGATCTTTGATTGTGTTTCTAATCTAGACAGTCACCATATTGTCATTCCCCTCGCAAAAATTAATACAGGCTTCTATTTATTGTGTGTAAGGGATATTCTGTACCTCTGTTTTTATATTTGTAATTCATATATTTTATACATCATTCAGCGTAGCATGGTGCCATTATTACTGAATTGATAACGTGTTTGTTAAATAGCTGTCTCACTTATGTCCTGTGATCATCAGGGAGCAAAGTAGGATAAACAGCTCTGTGTTCTGTTGTATTAGCATGTACTTGAAAATCAGGATTTATCAGGGAAAAGTCCTAAATTTATAAAAAATATTTTCCCAGAGGAAACAAAAAATGCATAAGAAACAGAGACCCTGTGGAGTAATGAAGTGTCCTGTGCATTTCACTTGTGTTATACTATTTGGATGAAGTTAATTTGTGGAAGAAGAATTGGGAGACTTCGTATCAATTCAAGAACATACCTTATTTTCATAAAGCATATGATTGTCTAACCACTATGCCGTACACCTGAAGCCAGTACAAAGTAATATGAAAATAAAAAGCATCTGTATAGTGGCATTTCAGTTTGACCATATTTTTATGAGCAATGAAAAATCAGAATAGCTTGTCATTATGTAACTCCCCAACGTAATGTAATTTCAGAATCTTCTTGCAAAGGAATCACCTAAGATACCGTCATTGAAAGATAAAAATTAAGAAAAAGAAACAATACATATGTTAGAGTGACACGAGGGATCTGATTTACAACAGAAGCTTTGTCTCAGACTCGTTAGTGACTGAATGTGGAGTCTTTTGGGGGCACCTGGGGTCCTGGTGAGCTTCCTCCCTCCGCTCTGCTTCCTTCGTAGAGAGTGGCACCGGGAAGGCCCCTGCTCAGTGAGTTGGGGCAACCTGTTGCATCCAAATGATTTGTTGCCACAGATGGGCCATTTTAGATGTATGTGGGCAGTGTCTGTCCCAAAGTCTGTATTTCCTTAGGAGGTTACTAAAAACTAAAATGATTTTTTAATTTATAACTTTCAGAATTAAGGAAAACAAATGACATTAACTGTTGCTTATCCATAAAATCCAAATTACAGAAGGAGAATGGGGAGGTATGTAAATTATATTTTGTATTTATTTTAAAACATAAAATTTATTTTAAATTTGCTGTGTATTTGTAGTCAGCATCATCATTGTTATTTAGGCTAAGGTTGCAAATAGTGAAGGAAACTGGTCTAGGAGGTGCCATTCACAATGAGTTTACACATTCATTGGCAATTTACTTCATTATTTTCTGACTTATTAGAACAACAGTGTGTGCTTTATGAGTGTTAGAGGTGATATGGATATAACTTTATACTTTTATAAAGGATGTACTTTTTCAAGTTACTATGCCTTTAATTGTCTATACTTCTTTGCAGATAATACCTACGTGTCAAGTTCAGAAAATGATGAAGATGTGTTAGTTACTACAGAGCCAATTCCAGTAATTTTTCACCGAATAGCAACAGGTAATAGGAATACACTATTTTTGTCTTAGGTTAATATTTATTTGGTTATTAGGTAGCTTTGTGTTTTGGTTTCCTTGAGCCCATGTAACAGATAGTAAATCTTTAGCATTTAGAAATCTGGTTCTCCATCCAAATTTTCTATCTCAAGGGCTTTAGTTTGTTTTTTGACAGTTGTTTAAGTGCATACATTTATAGTACTTTAAAAAAGTCTTGTTTAACGGTATCATGTTGATATTTGTTCTTTTGAAAATGTTTTCATGCATAATGACACTGCTAGACAAACTGAATATTTATTTAACAAGCATACTTGAGGCATTGTAGATCACATGATACACACACACACACACACACACATA